AGCTCTAGCTCCGGTTCAACACTTCACTCCTGTGAGTATGAAAGTTTAATGCGTTCATGCCGTTGGGATTGTCGGCCTTCGTGCCGTTGTGATTTTCGGCCTTCATGCCGTTGGGATTGTCGGCCTTCGTGCCGTTGTGATTGTCGGCCTTCGTGCCGTTGTTTCTTGCAGGTTGGAAACCTTCCCGTGCAGGGGAGGTGCTGCCGAAATTTTTAATTTTGAGTCTAACATATGCAATCTCTTCTCTTTTGTGCAGCTTCCGTCGGCGGGTTCAAACAATCCCACTACCGTGTCACCGGCGGCTGACCGCGTCAACCCTTCTTCGCAGTCCGGTCCTTCACCGCTGTCCGGGGAGCCACACCTGCAGTCTCCGTCGCCGCAGTAGGGATGTTGAACTTTGTGATGTTGAACTTGTAATAATAAACTTGTGATGTTGAACTTTGGTGCATTTGTGTTGAATTTTCGATGGATTTATTAAATATGCGTGTGCTTGTGATATATAATGCATGTTGGTGATATAGATGTGATGATTGATGTATATGTATATATATATATTGTCTGTTACAATGAAATGTAAATTTTTTTTTGCAATTCTCGTGATCTTTGCCGAGTGCCATGGGCAAGGCACTCAGCCAAAGATTTTTCAAAAAAAATATATATAATTTCTTTGTCGAGTGCCTTGCCGCGGCACTCGGCAAAGTATTTTTTTTTTAAAAAATTTAGAAATTCTTTGCCGAGTGCTTAAACAGGGGCACTCGGCAAAGAAATTATTTTAAAAAAAAACTTTGCCGAGTGCCTGGGCAGGGGCACTCGGCAAAGCAATTTAAAAAAAACCTTTGCCGAGTGCCTGGGCAGAGGCACTCGGCAAAGTACTTTAAAAAAAAAAACTTTGCCGAGTGCCTGGGCTGGAGCACTTGGCAAAGTAATTTTTTAAAAAAATATTTTTTTTTGCCGAGTGCTGGGTCGGGCACTCGGTAAAATAACCGTTAACGGCCGGCGCCGCAACGGCCGAAAATATTTTGCCGAGTGCCGCCCCAAGCACTCGGCAAATTTTTTTTTATTTTGCCGAGTGCCGGATAAAAAGCACTCGGCAAAAACCCTTTACCGAGAAAAGTTTTGCCGAGCGGACTTTGCCGAGTGCTACACTCGGCAAAGCCTTTACCGAGTGCAAAGGGCTCTTTGCCGAGTGTAAAAACACTCGGCAAAGCCGCGGCCTCCAGCAGTGACACCATCACAGCCTTGTCGAGGCAGGACAACGAGCTGTGGAAGCGGCACCTGCTGGGCTTGGTCTCCCAGGTGGTGGTCGCCGGGTACGTCGTGGCCAAGGCTTCTTGGCCGGAGGTCAGGCTAACGGCTGCCATGGTGCTCATGTTCTTTTCTGGGTGCCTCAAGTACGCCGACGAGCGTACTTTGTGCCTCTACCTTGCAAGCCCAGCGAAGCTTAGGTCAGGCGCCCTGGCTCATCAGTCAGAAACGCTACAGAAGCTTCAGGATACCAAGAAAGGCTTTCTTGGGAGAAGAAACAAATCAAGAGCCGAGAAAATGAAGAAAAGACTTATAAAATATGCAGAAGAAGTTCTAGTGGAGAATTGTTGTCCAATGAAAGTTTGAGAGACATCTTGTCAGTGGAAGCTCCCTTGAATGGCGAAAAGTTCGTTTCATTTTCTGGAGACAAGCTACCCGGCGTCCTCGAGTGGTTTGGGTCCATGCCAGGCCGATGCAAGGTCTATGAGCATGTGGGGGCAGTTCTTGTAGATTCGTACCAAGACCTCTACACCAAGAACCCACTTCGTAAACCCTTCTTCCGTGAGTCTTGTGCATTCATAAGAAAATGCGTATGCCGCCAAAAACCTTGTGAAGCCATTATTTGCTGTGGAATTTGTTGTATTTGTCTAGGCCCCTTCGTGCTATACGAACTCTTGCAGTATGCTTCAACCCCGATAGCCTTGGTGCTCTTCTGGGCCGCCGAAAAGGAGGGCAAACAGACACAATATCCTACCAGAGCTGATATCATCGTGACCTACATATTGCTTTTAGGAGCAATAGTCTTAGATGTGTCCTCTGCCACCATCTCCATTTTTTCCATGTACTCTCAGAAGCTACCAGCAGCTTGGAGGAGCAAGAAACAGTGGTCCGAGGAGATAGCACAATACAACATGATGAAGAGGCACGTTGTTGTGCAAGACACTAAGGGCACGATGGCGGCATCCATACACCAGTGGATCGGGCGGCGGTTGGGTGCCTGGGGTGTCGAGTTACTTGAGGTAACACACACACACCCATCACAGAGGATCGCACACCCATAAAAGAGTTCATCCTCGACAGTCTGTTAGGCTTGGGAACAAGGAAAAAATGGGACATTGCCAGCTCTCGCGGCCGGCAGGCACTTGAGGAGTGGATGGACAAACACAGAGGTCCAGATTCTGGAAGGCTAAGAAAAGCACTAGTTTAGACCACCATCGGCCGCGGTGTTGATTTCCCCACAAGCGTGCTCATCTGGCACATTGCAACAGACATATGCTACTACTTCAGGGACAATCACTACCGGACTCCCGTCCTTTGCCGAGAGCCCGAAGCTCTCGGCAAAGACGAGTTGACACTCGGCAAACTATTTGCCGAGAGCAGCTCTCGGCAAAGAGCCGTCGGCAAAACATCTACCGGCAAAGGATTCTTTACCGAGAGCCCCTCTCGGCAAAATATTTACCGAGAGTAATGACAAGGCTCTCGACAAACTCTAGCTCTCGGCAAACTGGCGCGCCCTAGTAACGGCCAAACGACCGCTAACGGTGTGACAGCTTTTTTGCCGAGAGCGACTGTCGGCAAAGAACTTCTTTGCCGAGAACGATCGTCGGCAAAGAATTGTTAAAAAAAAAAGATTTGCGGCCGAGGTGGTTTTAAAAAAAAAGGTTTGCCGAGAGCCGACCACCAAGCTCTCGGCAAAGAGGCAGATTTGCCGAGAGCCCTACTCTCGGCAAAGAGTCCAGAGAGCATTTTTTTTATTTTTGTTTATATTTCCAACTTCAACAACACATATTTCACAAATATAACACATCATCCACATCACATATATCACAAATATGTCATCCACATCATATGTCTCACATTATAATCCATCTAAACATCTCAAATCCAACAACACATGTCCATCTCAAAGTGCTAAGTTCATCTCACACAAGTTCATGTCACAAAGTGCTAATACATGATGAAGAACAACAGGCTCACCCCCCAAGGCTCCCACCCTCCCGACGGCGGCTGCTGCTGCGGCGGAAGGTGTGGATACGGCTGGTACCCTGACCCTCCCGACAGCTGCTAATGCGGCGGAAGTTGTAGATACGGTTGGTGCCACGACCCTCCCGACGACGTACGCTCGCTCAGCACATCATTCGAACCACCGATTGATTCTCACACAAAGGAGAAGAAAAATTAGTAATTATAGTAATACTAAGGCATATAATTGTAATCTAAGCGTAGACAAGTCAAAATTTGCAGAACTAGGTATAAAATTGTAATCTAAGCCTAGACACATCAAAATTTCGGCAGCACCTCCCCTGCACAGTGGGGTTTTCAAAACTTGCAAGAAACCAACGACACGATGGCCGCCCACCACATATCAACGGCACGATGGCCGGCACACATATATATCAACGGCACGAAGGCCTCCCATCACATATCAACGGCACGATGGCCGACATGCACAGTAAAGAGCTTTTGTTAGAGAAGTTGAACTCACGTATGAGTAAGGTGGGTATGGGTAAGGCGGTGGAGGAGCGAACAACTCTAGTGGCGCTGGACGACCCATCGTGACGCCAAGACTTGCCACGTCTTGAGCCAAGGCATCAAACCTCGCCGCTTCGGCCTCCCACCTCTGTCGCTCGGCCTCCCACCTCCTCGTCGCTCTTCCTCCACCCTAGCCTTATGCTCCTCGAGCGCATGCACCTGGGCCTATAATTTTTCACCGCATTGTTACAAGCAATTTCGAGGAATGTAAAACCAATGAACGACGAATAAAACAGAAATAACTCAGTAGTGTCTTTGCCACACGATGCGTCAAGTGTCTCCGCCTTGGGCGTATGGGCACGCTTCTACCGCTCGTCTTTGCTTGTCCCGGACTGTGAGAGAGAGGGAGTGGTGTGCGGGTCGAGCGTGCTGTTGCCGATGAGGTACCGCCCATACTTCTTGCCTCCTCCAACCCTCATGACGATGTCGCCGTCAATGTTCGTGGTGTGCGGATCCTAGTCTGCCCCATGGACTCCCCTTGCCGCCTTGGTGTACTTACTGATGCGCTCGGGGATGCTCTCGTTGGTGAATGACTCGGCTGGGTCGTCCGTGTTCCAGATTGATGTTGTTCATCGCTTTGCCCTTGTGGGCCGTAACCCATGACTTGAGCTCTCCGCGTGGTTGGTTTTGATGTGCACCATCGCGAGAAAAACAACAAGACGATTATAAATCATGCAGAATAAACGCTGAAAAGAATAAATGAAGCTACACCAAGTCACATACCCATCTAGCCCTGAATTCGTGGATGTTAAGGTTGCCCTGGTGGTGTGATACACCTGGCATCAGCAAACGTCGTTCCCGGAGGACGGTGTGGTTATCCGCCCAATTGCCACTCACCCACCTGTCGACCATCATCTGCCAGGCCCACGTTTTATTGGCGCACCAGCTAGGAGGCACCTGTACGACATCAAGTACATTGACAGATATAAGAACCATTCAAGCCTACCCAATCTCAAAAGAAATCAATATTGATGTTGTATATTTACCTTCAGGTACTGCTCTTTGGCCAACGGTGAGGACGAGGCCGAGGGCGAGGCCGAGGGCGAGTCGAGGAGCGCGTGAGGGCGAGTCAGGGCGCGGGTGAGGACGAGCCCGAGGGCGAGGATGAGGAGGGGCGCGGGCGAGGACGAGGGCGAGTCGGGGCACGTGCGAGGGCGAGTCAGGGTGTGGGTGAGTCGAGGAGCGCGCGAGGGCGAGTCAGGGTGCGGGCGAGGACGAGCCCGATGGCGAGGATGAGGAGGGGCGCGGGCGAGGACGAGGGCGAGGACGAGGGTGAGTCGGGGCGCGAGTGAGGACGAGCCTGGGGGCGAGGACAAGGAGGGGCGCATGCGGCGGGGCGGGCGAGGAGGGGCGCAGCCGGCGCCGGGGCGTGGCGTGGCTGGGGCTGGGTGGGTTTGGACGGGCTGGCCGGCCGTGGAGGGCACGACCACGACCAGGGCCGTGCCGCCGATGTCAGCAGTGAGCGACGGGGGATGGATGGCGGGTTGGCCGGGCCGCGCGGCGGCGAGGTTCGGGCGCGCGGCGCGGCAAAGGCATGGCCGGGCATGGCGGGCTGGGGCGAGCCGGAGCGGGCTTGTGGGGCTACGGCGGCGAGGCGGCTCGGGCGACGGCGAGGCTTGCTGCGGCAGCACACCGAGCTGGGCGGCGCTCCTCGCGGCGACATCGACGCTCCTCGCGGCGGCGGCTGTGTGAGTGTGTGCGTGAAGAGTGAGAGAGATAAGGCGCCGAAACGGTTAAGTGTCTGAAGCCACTTTGCCGAGAGCCAGATCTGGGAGGCTCTCGGCAAACCTTCCCCCTTTGCCAAGAGCCCCCCAGATCCGGCTCTCGGTAAAGTTATTTTTTTTTTCAAATTTCGTTCGAATTTTTTAACTAGCTAACTGCACAAAAAATATTAAAAATAAAAATAAAAATTATTATTTGTCGAGAGTAGCTCTCGGCAAACTGAACAAAAATTATATTTCTAAAAAAAATTAAATCTTTCCCGAGAGCAGCTCTCGGCAAACCTCTTCGCCGAGAGCCAGCTCTCGGCAAACCATTGATCCAGGCCAGGTAAAAAAAAAAAAATCTACACCGAGAGTGGGCCCAGTTGCTCTCGGCAAAGAGCCTTTGCCGAGAGCAATCCCCTGAAGCTCTCGGCAAATAATATCCAAAAAAAAAAATTAATAAACAGCAAACGGCTCCGGAAAAATACGAAATTTTGCCGTGTTACAACTTATGCTCTCTATTGGCTATACAAAAAGTTTGGAACTCCAAAACTAATTCGACCGTGACATTGTTTGAAAACCCTAATGGATCTTTCTCAACTTTATGAAAGTTATTCGGAGATGTCTCATATTGTAAGAATCATACGCAACCACTTGTGCGAAACATTTTCAATTTTTTACCACAGCCTCCAAGTGTGATACCATGACTTCATTGCAAATATCACAGTTTTCCGACTTCGTTTCTTTTTTTTGAGAATTTTTAAATCGTTGGGCGACATATGTTCGTGGTCTTCGATTCGTAAAATAAAAGGTGAAAAAAACGTCAACAAGATGTTATTTGCCCTCAATAATGCATAAATAGCATGAATATCATTTTCTACTTAATTTTTTCCTGTGTTTAAATCAATCGCTGTTCAAATTTTAATCGATTAAAAAACTCCTTGAAATGCAATTAATTAATTATATATAGCAAATAATTACAAAAATACACAAAATTTTAATATTGAGTATAACCTGTAGTATGTCTATAGAGAAAAAAGTTTGGAGCATATGAAAGAAAAAATAATTTAATTGGAGAGAGTTAGGAGAAGAGAAACACATGCATATGAAATATAGAAACCACATTTGCCGAGAGCCTGGGAGGGGCTCTCGGCAAATATTTGCCGAGAGCGGCGCTCGGCAAAGAGTTTTGCCGAGAGCAGTAACGGAGGGGCTCTCGGCAAAGCGGTGACGCGGTTAGGGCAGGTCACGGCTATGGGCCCGCGGCAATGTTTTGCCGAGAGCCGGATTTTGCCGAGAGCGCGGCCTACGGCAAAGGACCGTTTTGCCGACGGGCATTTTTTTGCCGAGCGCGGCTCTCGGCAAAACGACCCACTTCGCCGAGAGCTGTTGCTTGCCGAGATGCAGGCCCACGGCAATCCTGTCACTTGCCGACGGCCGGTGTTTGCCGAGAGCCGCGCCCGGCAAACGTGTTCTTTGCCGAGAGCCCGCGTTTTTGCTCTCGGCAAAAATCTCGGATCTCGGCAAAGGACGTTTTTCCGGTAGTGAATGACGACGCTAGTTCAAATGATTCTGATGACATGAATAAGAAGCATAAGCAGATGAGCAGAGAGCTATTAAATTATATCATGTACCTTGTCTTCAAGTCCGGTGTGATGTTGACTACCAACTCCCAACTTGTACATGACAAAGCCCATGTTGAAATCAGCGCAATTTTGTCAGGTCAAGATCAACAGGGTCAATCATCGCAAGTTGCTCTAGATGAGAAGGCAACAGTCATGAAGCTTTTTCAAGCCAACAAGAAAGAGGAACAAGATACCGACAAGCATCAAGAAGCAGCCAATCAGCAGAAACAGGAACAAGCTAATAACGATGATAATGTTGGTGCTGATATTCATCTGCAGAAAGTTGTGCACAGCGCTGCAGCAGGGACTACTCCAGTGTTGCCTCGTGCATGGTTGGTGGCGAGGGAGCTCCTTAGCATCAACGATGAAGCAGAACGTTGGGGCCTCATCGCCAATGTGTGGGCAGAGATGCTTTACTATGTCGCGCCTCGCTGCGGCTGTGCTTTCCACTACGAGCATCTTAGCACCGGTGGGGAGTTCATCACCCACCTTCTCCTTCTCATGAAATTTCTAGGTCCTTTTCTGCCACCCCCTGATACCTGAGCTTCATTGTATAGCCTTATATTAGGAGGAAAATCCATGCTCAGCTCTTGTATATATATATGTATGATTGTTGTATCTTTCAAAAGATATAATCTCCAAAAACTAGTACACGTAGCCATTACATGTAATAAGGGTTTGTTTGTTTAGCTGTGAGTTGTGAGAAGCTGTTGTGAGGTATGAGTTGTGGAGAATCTGTAAGCTGTTTGGTTGGAGCAATCGTGAAACATGCCCCTCTATCTCCATATATATATCTCTCTTGAAACGGTTGTGAAACATCTCTCTAAATCCACCAATTGGAAAAAGCAGAAAGACAAAAATCGGAACAAGGGTCCAAGATGCCAAAAGCAACAAGTTATGGAAAAGCAGCTTTAGGTTTCACCCATTTAGCTGGCATTTGCTTTTGGCAGTAGAAGCACTTTCCGATTACAGTGACCACTGCAGGGGCGTCGCGGTAGCCGGTAGGCAGGAGTTGTCGTCGCCGAGTAATGCCGGACCTAGTATTTTGTCGCAGGGTATGTTGCAAATATTTTGCTTGTATTATAATAAAATATAGGGTAAAGTCCACTTTAGGACCTCTAATTATCGTAGAAGTATGGATTTCAACCTCCAACTTCAAAACCGGATAACATTGGCCCTCCAACTCTCGAAAAAGTTCACTTTAGGACCCTGGCCGGTTTCCCAGGCGGTTTTGCATGACACTGTAGCAGTGCTGACGTCAGCACTCCTTTTTAATTTGCAAAATTGATATCTTTTTATTCGGAGCTCCAAATATAGCAAATAATAACTTGTTGGTGTTGTACATATATAAATATACAAAGTATATAAAATACTTGCATACGTCAGCTTAATTGCATAACTTGTTTTGTAGAAATATTTATTTTTTTCATGAAATAAAATTATCTCAAACAACAAAACGGAGTACACCATTGCAAAGAGCTCGTCGAGACGATCAAAATTGATATATTATTTGTTATATTTGAAGCTCCCAATAAAAAGATATCAATTTTGCAAATTAAAAAAATGCTTAACTCATCGTCATCACTAATCACACACATATCAAAAACCGCCATGAAACCGCCAGGGTCCTAAAGTGAACTTTTTCGAGAGTTGGGAGGCCAATGTTATCCGTAGTAGAAGTTTTTTATCTTGTACCCATACTTTTGTGATAGTTGGAGGTCCTAAAGTGGACTTTACCCTAAAATATATTTAGCAATTCGGTGAATATATTATAAAATTTTCTCCACAATTCAATATACAATAAGTACTAAATAACACAATAAGTCTTAAATTAAACAGTTAAGCTCGAAACTTGCATAAATCACAATACAAATGAGGCATCGCAGCAGTCAGGCGCGGTAGGCGGCAGCCCTCGGCCGCTCGAGGCTCGGCCATCGGATCGGTACACGGGAAAATGAATCGTTGAAAGGCTGCATATTGCTAGACCAACGGTGGCTGTTTGCCTTCCACTTGCGACTGAATATGCGGCCCAACAGGCCCAAGTGCGGTCCAGTAGACTAATCCATCCAATGGCGCCCAATGCTTCGTCTGCCTCTGTCTGTTGTTCCTCGCATTCGGAAAAAACAAGAAGCCAACGCTGACTATGGCGAGTGCACTACCGGTCGCCAGATCTCGTCATATTGGTGGATCCGCGGCTACTGTTGTTTTGGTAGTGGTAGTATAGTACAATACTTATTATGGATGTTGTATGCCACAATTTTCTTTTAGAAATGTAACAGACAAGAAATTTGTAGAGCATGTATTAATAAATAAAAAATAGATACATCAACAACATTGAAAACCAACACAAAAAAAAACCCTCACGAACAAAGTGATAACAAGACAACCACCGCAACAGCACTACATACACAGCCAACGAAACCAGTGACTAAGGATCTTGGATTTTTAATAAAGAGTCAAAAAAATTCATTTGTAGTTCGGTGAAACTATATGCTAATTTGGTAAACAATTACAAATTTTGCAACAAAATTTGGTATACAGACAAATAATATGAGAAGTTTTCAATTCAAAGGTTAAGTTGGAAACCTCCACGAAATTATAATATAAATAGTTCAAACGCCATACTTATAGTTTGTCTAACTTCTTTAGCGATGATTGAATAAGACAATATGAAAGTATGTATATTAAAAAGATACGATGATTGTATATTAGCATCTCACTTCGGTGGCTCAGCCAGTCAGCCTTTGTTGGAGCTAGGTGTTAGGGGCTAAAGCAACCATAGAAAAAATACATGGCGTCCGGAGCAGTGACACCATACGTTCGTAACTTTCAGGCCGTCGACTGCTGGATCAGGTGACAAGCGCTTAACCGCTCCCGATAATAGTGTCATCAACCTTATGAAGGGACGATGGTCTGGGACCGCGGGTGGCCCTTCGCGTATCCGACCAATGAGTAAGCACCATGAATTAGGGCGACACTGCCCAGATCTCGTCATATGGGTCCCCATGCTCCTAAGATTGAAACATTATGCTCATTGTGTGACTGAATAGGTAATTTTTTTTATTTTGTAACATATATATTGTAAATGCAATCAAAATAAAACTATGGTTTTTCAACATAATGCACTACTACAAAAAAACCCTTTTGTCCCGGTTGATAACAAGACAACCACCGCAACAGCACTAACCAGCCACTATAATCTGATTTTTAATAAAGGTCAAAAATTCATTTGTAGTTCGGTTAAACTATCCTCCTAATTTAAAAATTACAAATTTTGCTCCAAAATTTGTATACCAGACAAATAATATGAGATTTTCAACCCAAGACTTCATGCAAACCTCCACGAAATTATAATATAAATAGTTCAAACCCACACAACACATTTGTCTAACAATGGCGATGATTGAATAAGACAATATGAAAGTATGTATATTAAAAAGATCCGATGATTGTATATTAGCATCTCACTTCGGTGGCTCAGCCAAGCCTTTGTTGGAGCTAAAGGTTCCTTTAGTCAACCACAGAAAAAATGGCGTCCGGAGCGGACACCAAACGATCGTAACTTTAGGCCGTCGACTTGGATCAGGTGACCAAGCGCTTAACTAAAGGTTGGAGGAACGTTATGAAGGGACGATGGTCTCCAACCGCGGGTGGCCCTTGCGTATCCGACCAATGAGTAAGCACCATGAATTAGGGCGACACTGCCCTTTGGCTAAAGGGTCTTTAGTCCCCTAAGACAAAATTATGCTCATTGTGGACTAATGCTAAATTGGGATATCGTAAATGCAATCAAAAACTATGGTTTTTTAGTAGTGATGATAACGTAATTAGAGGACTAATAAGATTTATAGAGTTGACAAACATGTGATATGATTATGAGGATGTTACATAAGATGGTGGAGTCCCCAAATGATAAAAGGACGTGGTGATGGACTCAAAAGCATTTAAATTCTTTTATCTTTTGAAACTAAGTATAGGAAATGCAACACTATAAAGGGGATACAATACACAAGTTTTAATGTGCAACCAAGTGCTCAAATATCCATTGTACAAATCCTCAAACCAAGCCAAGCCAACCAATATCTAAATCTTATTCTTTATTGTTCTGGCTTGCGTGGCACTGCCGCACATATCACGGCACTTTCCCGACTTAACGGTCAGTTGGGAAAGAGGGAGGTATTTATACCTCTTCACCTTCCTCCCCAACGGCTATCTCGACCAGACCTCACTCTCACCAGCAGACAAGCTTCTCAATCTCCATTGAAGGCCCCCAAGCTCTCCCCTTTGGTTCCCTATGATTCTTTGAGATGTTGAGCCTCCAAACTTCATTATAGAGCTTGTCAACCTAAGCTTCAACTCCTAGAGAACTTGGTTCACGTTCAGGCCAGTGGATTGTGTTCATTACTCTTGGAGCAAGAGCTCCTAGCCGGCTACGCGTCGCCCGCAGAAACTCCCAACTGTTGTAGGCGCTCCGAGACGTTTCTAATCACTCCTTCATCGAGTAAGAAACCCTCACTTGTGCTCTTGACTTGAGAAGAGGATAGGGTTCATTGAAACCCAAGCCTTGGTGGAAATTTGGTAAGCTTAGATGGAGCTCTTTATATTCTTTGATGGCGCTCTTTATATTTCAAGTGGAGTCGATGCAGCCTTCAATATTGCAATCAGATATCATTGGCTCAGGAAAGAAGACCGACGGATCGAAATAATTCGAGGCATGAAGAATTCATACTCCGAACTGGAGAGCATGTGTTAACACCAAAATTTGGTAAGCTTACCATGAAAAGAAAGAAATCAACCAATGATGTCAAAAACAAGAAACTCATATATGCGAGACGGTCATAGAATTAGTTAGGCTAAATCATCTCCATTACCGGGTAGACAAAGGTTATTTAATATTCCAAATATTCGGCAAGGAGCGACACAAGGTATATCACATAAAGCAACAAAGCAAATATCATTGACTGGAGGTGCGCGTACACGTGTAGAAAAAGAAGCCAATCCGAAATATATATTATTTAATTATTAGTCAAGCCGATCAAATCATGTGCACGATATGCAAGCAGAGGGATCGAAACCGTCTTCAAGCGCATTGTTATTATTGACTTGCATGCTGCTGTAACAAACAAGGTGATTAGCTTAGTACATACGTATACAAGAGTCCTACTCCTTGCCAGAAGACCAGGCGACCCACATATATTACGAATTCTAACTTTCATGAAAGCCGATTGAGAGGGTTGGATCACCCTTTTTGCCACTAGGGCTATTCGGTTAGTCAACACCTTGATGAAAATTTTGAAACTAACATTGAGTAGACAAATGGGCCGGTATTGTTGCATTTGTGTCACCTCTTTCTGTTTTGGTAACAACATAATTGTACCAAAATTAAGACTAAAAAGGGGTAAGGTACCATTGTGAAACTCTTCAAAAAGGGGGCATAAGGTCCTCTTTTATTACTTCTCAAAAGACTTGGTAGAACTCAGCCGGAAACCCATCCGGTCCAGGCACTTTGTTATGCTACATTTGAAAAATAGCCTCTTTGATCT